ATTCACATAACCTGCATTGCAAATTACAGCACCTTTACATTCCTCTCTTTCTAGGCACGCGAATGTATCTCTAGAGATGCTATTGAAGCTTGTGGCAATCTTCGGTCCATTAGTCCGATCAGCTGTTTCAGCACGTCCATCTGTAGGGGTTGATCTTCATGCAGAGGAAAGGTTTGTCCATCTCTACTAAGATACACATGTTCTTCGCGTGCTTTCCTATTACTGTGTGGATGAATGCAAGGAAGGATTCTAAGTTTTGGCATTGACAGAATCGAGTGCTGCAGACAGTGCTTAGCGCATCTCCAAGTTATCCAAAACAGTATTCCGACGCTCTTGCAGTAAGTCTCATCTGTGCATCATTATGTGTTCATAAGACACTTTCTTGGCTTGGGAATATCACAAAAACTGACATTTCCTACTGCACGAAACCATCGTTTATTTCATTACTAAGGGAAAACACATTTTAAAGACATATGGAATTTCTATTCACATCTGCACAACCTAATCATTGATCCCTTTTCCACCAAGTCTGAGTTTTTGTTAGAAACGGGTTGCAACAGACTGAGTTTATCATGCATTGATGAATTTGTCTGTTTTCACGCAAAAATGTTATGCAGGAGAGGAGGCTTGCTGGCAAGATCTGCACACCAGCTGAATCTTGTTCTTCAGCAATCATGAAAATGCAAGAGCTCACATTTCAGAGGAGGGGCACTCTACCCTGCAATCATCTGGATTGGACATCACCACCGGTTTTCGTCCAACTTTTGCTACCCAAGTCCAGATTTCCTTTTGTCGTTAGCCCAGCAGCCATACAAGAAACTAAAGTGGCGCATGGAATCGGCGTTTTTGCAGAAGCAACACCACCTGGTAATGTGATTCCCCATTTTGTATGTAATTTATAGCAATGAAATTCTATGGGATGTAGCCCTTTAGATGTATAAATATATATACCTCAGTTGTTAGATGATTCTCCCATTAATGGTTTTCCGAATATAAGATGTATCCTAATTCCTAATATAACATGTTCACCTTTTATAGGGTTGAATTCCACTGTATATAAGAATTTTTATAGCTCCCTCCCTCCCAATTGCTGTAGGATTTTTTTCTATTTTGTCCATAAAAACCTTTACCATTTAATATTTTGTTCGTCAAAAAAAATCCAATTTAAAAAGTTTATTAAAAATGCTATCTTGTCCTGTAATATTGGAATCTTTTATACGGAATAGTTTGTAAATAATTTCTTGCAGGGATGACTTAAATAAAATAAGTTAAAAGGTCAAAAATAAAATTGCTAATTTTATAGAAATAAAAAACATACCCTCTCTGTCTTTAAAAAATTTTCTTCTTTTGTTTTTTTTATCATAAAGAGTCTTTCTATTTTCTACTACGTATTAAAAAATCATTTTACACTAACTAATTTTTACTTACATATCATATTTATTCGTCATCATATTTATTTTTACCCAAAATTTGGGAAAGTCAACAAAAAAATTCTTGCTGCCGACTTGTAGGAGAATTGGGGGGGGGGGGGGG